AAAAAAAGATAAAAATTGAAAAAAAAAAATAAAAAAGATTTGGGGGCTGGGCATGGTGGCTCATGCTTGTAATCACAGCACTTTGGGAGGCCAAGGCAAGAGGATTGCTTGAGCCCAGGAGTTGGAGGCTAGCCTGGGCAACATAGTGAGAACCTGTTTCTACAACAAAAAATTTAAAATTAGCCAGGTGTAGTGGTGCATGCCTGTGGTCACAGCTACTGGGGAGGCTGAGGCAGAAGGATCGCTTGAGCCCAGGAGTTCAAGGCTGCAGTGATGCAGTGAGCATGCCACAGCAACAAAAAAAAAAGACCCTGCCAAAAAAAAAAAAAAAAAAAAAAAAAAGAGATTTGGTACAAATGTTACTTTTCCATACCATATCATCTGATTCACTTAGAAAATTTCCTTTCTCTTTTTACATTTTAGTTCTCTTTTTTTCTGTAGTGTTGACATTGAACACCAGATCCCTGAAATCTACACAGAAATGCCATTTCTATTTTTGCATTTGGTCTTGAAAACACTTGAATCACAATCATCCACTGAGAAACTTCTCTAGAAGAGAAAAGGGCTGTTCCTCAGCACATCTGGGACTCAACAGCCATGAAGGAGGGGAAGCAGAAAGGATTTTGTCCTCCGTGTCATCTTAAAGGGGAAATTTGTGCCTCGCTTGAGTTGGGGTAGAATAGTGCCTATTGACTCTATGAGATTCTCACACTTTGCAAAAATATCTCAAATTCTCTGAAATGACATATTTGGAATCTCAAATTTTCACCACAGAACACCAGAGTTGTCATTCTTGTTACTGTAATGCCACCATGGGGAGCTTTGAGATTATTCCCACATTGAAGTACCATCCATAAGGTTGTAGACAAATCAGTAGTAACATATACCCACAGAAATTGTACTTATTATACCTGAACACTCCCATTTCTTCATAGTCTTAGAAAAAGATGTGAAAGGAAGAGACAAAAACATCAGTATATAGGAAAATACCCTCTACCCTTGAATACCTGAACCTATAATGGGAAGGGTGAGCCAGGCTGGGGCAGGAAGAAAGAGGTTTAATTGTGCTTGTGTGCACATCTATGTATAAGTCAGAATCTTCCTAGAGGGAGGAAAATGCTTAATTCTGTCAGTCAAATTGGTGAAAGAGGTATTGGGCTCTGGGCTATTCATAGACCTTAAGCTGGGTTGTGCTATACATACTGAATACTTGGCTGTTCTCATTTTTTTTTGAGCAATTGAGATAAAGTAAATGAGAGGCCAAAAAAAAAAAAATGTCATGAGAAAAAGTAGAGAGATTCAGATAATGACTCTACTTTTTCTTATAACGCTATCTTTCTTATAACTGTAGATAGTCTGGAAAACTTCCCAGAGTCAGAGAATCACATAAAATAGGATTTCAGTAGGTGGGAGGGAGCGGGGGGATGGGATTCCATTTTGAAAAGAGACTCAAGGGAGTTTGGTCACTGAAGTTCCGGGTGAAGAGGTGAAGAGGATTATCTGAATACTGTACTGATTTTATTTGATTTCAAGAGTGTTCTCCAGTGTCACTGTTGCTCAGATGCCAAAATATCTCTGAGCTACTGCATGGAACATGGTGTCAGCCAGAGAAACTGGTTCAGGGGCACCAGGACACAATGAGCTTTCACAAAGGAACTCTGGAGAGATGACAGAAGCATTTCTATGCCTGACTGTCCTGCGCCCCCTTTTCTGGGAAGAAAGTAAAGCCCTCTACCAAAGACAGCAGAACAAATTCTCACTCTGAAGTGAGGGCAGGAATAGTGAGCTATTGCCTGCCATCCATCTCCAACACTTCTCTGGAAAGAGGATGGGCTGCCTGGAGACGAAGCTGTGTTTGGGGCCCCTGTCCTGCCAAGTGCAGTCAGGGGGTCTTAGTGGCCTGCACTGGCATTCTTGGGGCCACCAGTTTCCCCACGTTCATTGCCTCCCAGCTGGGACACACATTTTACCCATCAATTCCTCCTCAACTCCACATCCTACTGCAAACTCCACATTTACAGAGAGGCACAATCTGTCCCCTCTTTTCTTTCATAACTTCCCCATCTGTGAAATGGGAATAACAGCTCTGTCATAGCTGCTTCACACAGTAAAAGTGCTGCATATGATGGAAAAAGCTCAAATAAAAAGGCAGGGCATTGCTGTTGCTATTTTTAATACCCATCCCATAGTTTCATTTAACATAAAACAGCAAAATAGCTACCAAAAATGCCTTAAAAGCCTGTACTCAGCCTGGAAAGAATAGCTGCATACAAACTTGTCCAGGTCCCTTAGTCCCACCTTAAACCTATTGAGCCAGAACCCCCAAGTGTAGAGACCAGGACCTGTATTTTTAAGGAGTTCCCAGGCAATGCTAATCATAAGCCGGGTTTCTGACCACGATTTGCTCCATTCCATGAACACTGGGCATAATCTTTGCCTGGTTTGGAGGAAGAGATGCATGACATGTTTCCTATACCTCTCAAACTTGACCAGTGGAGATGGGTTACAGCTCAGGTGACTGACAATCCTTTTCCAAGGAATGGGAAGAAAAATAATGCTTTCGACGGGTTAAGATCTCACAAGAGCACCATCAGAGAGGGAGAGGAGGGGTCAGTGGGAAGGAATGGAACTCACCTACGATGATACCACAGGCACTGACCAATCCGATCTCTTTCTTCAGGGCTACTCCGCCCCCTCCGGAACCGGCCTCAGGGCTGGCGTCCGACTCGTCCCCACCTGGGTGTTTCTTTTCGGTGCTGTTTCGGTGCCTGGCTCCTTCTTCCATCCTTCTCAGTAAGATTGCAACCTCCAAAAGCTGCCTCCCTTTCTAAATGAGTATGCGTGTAAATAAATTGGGATAGAGCTTTGAATTAAAACGTCCTTTTCCGAAATAGGGACCACACTTACCCTCTAAACAAGGTAAGCAGATAAAAGAGAAAACGAAAAATATTCCTACTCCGTATTCACACTTTCTGGTCACTCGTGTTTACAAACGAAAAGTGTTGCTTAAAAAAAAGGCCAGGGGAGACATACATTTAAATATAAAAATAGAACTGTGCCAGCGACTCGGGCTGGAAATCTGCTGAAAGGGATGTGCCTTCAGAAACCAGGATGGCTCTGCTCTGTGCACCAGGCAGTGGCTTATTTCAGACGCTTCAAAAAGAGAGCCTGGATTTCCCGTCAGTTCTCCCCCTAATAAAACAGGAGATTGTCTTTACCTCCCCCTAGTTTTTTCTTTTATGATGAAGACAAAAGTAGTTTTCCTTAACTGTAGGAAAAAAGAGCAATCCTCAGGTACTTTTTTCTCTTCTAGAAAAACAACTTGTGACCTGACAGTGTTGCTTCAGATCTGGTTTCCACCTGCTCTGGGTTTCCTTTCCCTTCCCCGTCTTGTGCTTCCGCCTTTGCCAGATGTCCTCTTCTTTCTCGCTGGTCTTCGTGCCCTTGTTTTCCTCTTTTCGATCCAGTCCTACTGCACTGCCGGCCCCATCCCTCTGGGTTTCGGCAGAGTGGCTCCTCCACACACTAACGTGCTTCCCTTTAACGAGGGGTTTTATTCGCCGGCGGAGGCTCCGCCCCCGCCTCCTCTGCTCCCCTCCATCCTCAGTCCCGTCTCCTCCCTCCTCTGCAATGTAAATATTAGCACAGAGCCCCCAAACACCGCTGAGAAAATGGACTAAATTATTTCTTTTTGCAACTGTCTCTCGCTTTCTCCATCCTTCTCCTTGTAACCAAGTGGAAGTAAACTCCTTCCACGACAACTGTTCCGGGAGAGCTCATTAGCTAGTATAATGTTACAGCTCATACAGCATCTGTGAACTTTATAAATAAGGGAACAGTTGTGCAGATATTTTTAATGCCATCTGAAATAAACTAGCCGATGTGTTAAAATATTTAAGACTGGGTCATTTGAGAATACGGGAGAGAACGTTAAAGGGACATCATCTTGGAGTTTCCTAAACATAGGAAGAATCGTCGGGTGAGGGAGGGAAATGGAAGGAATTAACAATGGGGAAAAGGTTCTTTTAGTGTAACTGTGAACTCTGAAGAGTACAGAAGAAACAAAATCGCCAGGCGCGGTGGCTCACACCTGTAATCCCAACACTTTGGGAGGCCGAGGGGGGAGGATCACGTGAGTGCAGGGGTTTGAGACCTGCCTGTGCAACAGAGCGATACCTACCTACCAAAATTTAAAAATTAGCTGGGTGCAGTGGTACAGGCCTGCAGTCTCAGCTACTCAGGAGGCTGAGGCTGGAGGATTGCTTAAGCCCAGGAAATCAAGGCTGCAATGAGCTATGATGGCGCCACTGCACTCCAGCCTGGGAGGCAGAGCAAGACCGTGTTTCAAAAACAAAACAAAACAAAACAAAACAAAAAGGCCAAACAAACAAACAAACGAACAAAAAGCACATGCACACAAGAAAAGAAAAAAAAATAAAACCACAAGGTAGCCTTGTTCACAGCTCTTATTTAGAACTGGCTGAAACATGAAAAAAATTACTCAAACTCTGGTCCTGCAACTTCAAATATTTTTGCACTTATGAACTATTTGAAAATCACATATGGGGAATTATCAGTACATTGGCGATCATAAAACAGACTTGTTGATGTTAGAATAACTAGCTTATTACCATATTGAAATTATACCTCCACTTACCTGAAGAATTTCACTCAGAAACTGCTGCCTTAAGGTGAGAGCAGTGATGTCTATTTATAATTGCAAAGTATTTTGAAAAAACAGCATGAAGCAATATAGTGGACAACATTATAAGTCTAAAATTAAGTTATTTTTAGCCTTATTAAATATATTATGCAAAATTATTTAATTTTAAAGTGGGTCTAAAAAATAAAGTTCCCCCAAGCTGACCCCTAACTACAGAAATTTAGCCTGACTTTCTGGAAAATGTTCCAAAAGATTTTGGGTTTTAAGGAAAATAAATACTTAATTCCTTAAAATGAGGTTGGTTGAGCTGTCATAACACAAGCCTTTTTAATGGGGTAAAGTCCAATCAGGAGTCATCTGCCCCCTTGATCACTCAGCAAGTATTCAGAGGTTTCAAAGGTTAGGAGGAACTTCCTCTCCTTCTCCTTTTGCTAGTTCAAGATACAGCAAATTGAAAGGCTCAGCAA